CCCTAGTTAACATCTCAGCCCGATCTCAGCTCTCGTACGGCTTCTGTGCCTGCTTTGTGTCTAGAACTGTGTAGCCAGTGCAGGACACTACAAGTCAAACTCCCTTCACTCAGGAAGGATGGCTGTAACAATGTGCCAAACTGCTGGCTTCCTGATCGCTTTTCTGGGCGTAGGGGCTATCATTGCAGCCACTGGCATGAACAACTGGAGCAACCAGGACCGCCAGGGGGATGTGGTGACATCTGTCTACACCTACAAAGGGCTGTGGAATACCTGTGAAGTGGGCAGCTCTGGATTTACTGAATGCAGGCCATTTTACACCATCCTGGGTCTGCCAGGTAGGAACGCTCTTTATTTTTAATTTGTGGAGTATTTGCAAAATGTGTGTGAGTGGGCAAGACAAGATAGACCAGGGAACCTTGGTCAAGCTGCAGAGTACAAGCAGAGCACACAGTTCTGTTTCCCCACTCCCACATCACACAGAGTTAAGTCACAAATGGGTTGATAACTGTTCTCCAGTTTACACTATGGCATTGTGCTTTTTGTCTTCTATTGTATTTTCACCGATTCACAAAAGATTCTTCAAATAAAAGCCTAGAAATTAAAAAGAGAAAGTTGGATACATCACATGCCCACAAAATCATGGTGATGTAATTCTATACTGTTCATACAACTACAACCACAATTGCTACTGATGTTGCAACTACACCATTAGACTAAAACAAGTTAGTACACTAATTGCTAATTATCTCTGAGCAGAAGTCTCTTGACTAAGACAAGCTGGCATGCTGGTGAAAGCTAGCTCAGAACCATTGCGAGCCCATTTGAAAAGGAATCGTGATTCCATAAAATCACAGTCATGAAAATGACTGTCATTTTGGCTGTCCAAAATCTGTCATTTTTTTAAATTAAATAATCAGAATTAAATGGTCACCACGGACTTAAAATTATGATTTTTAAAAAAAACAAATGAAAGACTCTAAAAACTCTAAAAAGCTTAAAGCATAACAAGCATAAGGTTTAATAGTCATTTATAGTGGTAGTAAAATGTTTATCAGTACATATTAATGAAAATATGTTTTGAAAAAAAATAAGTTTGATAAAGTTATGGAAGCATTAACTACAAATTAATTAACCTTATGTCTTGAACTTCTAGTTTTGTACTGATGCTTTAAAGTTTAAAAATATATTAGTAACAATTAAATGTAGACCAAATTACTTAAATTTAATATCAGGAACATCTAAGTCCTTTATTAATAGAACTTCCATTCTTTCCAAATTGACAATATAAAAAAAAACATATTATTACAGTACATTAAACACATCACAATTAAGACATGAAAGGTATAGGGCTTCTGTAATAACACTTAAAGATATAATCTAAAACATATATAAACACGTTTCAATTAACCATTCATGCTGACACAGCAAATGAAAAAATGTTTTAGTGGTAAAAATGTAAATGTGTTCTATTCTGTGTGTTGAAAGTAACACAAAGGATGGATACTGTATAAGATTTCTAAGCAAACCAGCCTAAAACCACATAATAAAATTAATGTACAATTACATAATACTGTAATTGTAGAGTACATAGTACAAACAATAGTAATAGTACAAACAATACTGTTTGTACTGCGGTACAAACAAGTAAGAAACGACTTACTCAACGTGTAACTTTACAGTACATTTATCCATTATCAGAAAACTGCCCGTTCTTGCAGCAACCTGGTGACTAATCCAGAAGTACAAGGCTTCTGGATCGCAGGGCTCACACAAGCACGAACACAACTCAAACCAACTAACCTAGTCAGCATGTGTTCAAAAGGTGGGAAAAACCTGGAACTCCTGAAGAAACAGCATGCAAACCCCTTACCAACAGCACTTCAGACCAGGATCAAACCCACGACTCATCTGCTGTGTATCAAAATATACAAAACAGCACAAAAATATGTTTTTGTGATTCAGTAAGAACTACTGTGCCTAATTTGTCTAATGATGCTACTGTAGAGGATGCAAGAAGTCACAGCTAATTTCAGGAAAGGTTCTAAATGAGTTTTAATTTATTATGAAAAAAAAAGCATTTTTCCAGAGAACAATTCCAGCAGTTTTGCAGTAAGTTGTATAGTCTGGGTACAGCTCTGGTCACACTCTGTTATTACCATCAATGTGTGTTTAGAAGTGACCACTGCATATGCATATGCATGCATGTGAACTATAGAATACAGTACTGTATGTAAAATACTTCCACACATGGCACAAAGGCTAGTTCTGACAAAGTTATCCCCCCTTTTAAATTATTCCTGAAATATCACAATGTCAGGCTAGGCAAGGTCTACACTACCAAGAAAATACGAACTGTATATAAAACAAATGGTTCAGAAGAGAAGGATCAATGGAATCATTGTTTCATGAAGTGATCTTGGATTTTTTTTTTCATTAATTTAAAAACATCTCAATAGAGCAAAAGCAAACTATAAAATACAATTACAGCACAGTACAGTACAAATAATGAGATAATGACTAGTTGTATATTTCTGGTTCACTGTGTTTTTTGGTAGTAGTCACCTCACATTGGTAATGGTAGTGGTAGTACCTCACATACCTTGCCTTTATTTATAAAAGCTATGGAAATATATGAATCATTGAAATTTTGAACATTTTTAAAATATATTCCTGGAATTAGAAAAAAAGGGTATTTGTTTTTAGGATAAAATATTTCTATTTTCTATAAATTCTAAGGATACCATTTAGAATTTCCAGTGTTTCCAAAAAGTATAATTACCACAGTAGTTCTGACATTGCCGAAACAAAACAAATTTATGTAAATTAATGTGACAGTAATGACAATTTACATTTTGTCTTCACCTACAGTACCTTTTAACACCTCATTAAATAATTCACACCTTAAATAATTAATCATTGGATAATCACAATGTAAAACAGATGATTACAGGAATCTGTACTCCTTGGTATTCTTCTAATTTGATTTGCTCTTTTAAATCTGATCCAATGTAAGAACAAGACTTTGACTGCATTGTTTTATTCAACACAAGAGTCTTGCGTAGAAACACAGCACAAAGAAACTGGAGGGTTGATAATATACAGTATTAGAAGATGCAAAAGGAAAGACAAACATCAATTAAATAAAAGCCTTCCTAAAAAAAGATTTTGAGTCTGGATTTGAATACGCTTAGGGAGGATAACTTTCTGATATCCTTGGGAATAGATTTCCAAAGCTTTGGGGTGTACAAGCTCTGGGGTGTACAAGAACTTTGGGGCTCTGACACCCAGTCTGTAGACGAGCTTGGGGGACAGGCAGGAGACCAGAGTCAGATGAATGCAGGCTGCAAGCTGGGGAGTTGGAAGATGATAAGTCGGACAAGTACTGAGGCGCCAAGCCATGTGGAGCCTTGTAGGTCAACATGAGATTTCTGAAGCTGAATTACAGGTGAGGATGGATCGTGAAGACAGGACAGAAATTGTGAGTTGGTTTCTTTGATTCACTTCACTTTCGTGACTTTCATAAGAGGTTTCGATATGAAAAAGGCATCCATGGCTTATCAAAATTTTAGCCTGGGTTGTAGCCTCTCCCCATACAGTATCTCTGTTTGCTTTATGAAGGGTGACTGGTACACGGTGAAACAACAATGTTCAAACAGAGTCAGCTAGCCGGTTGGAGGCTGAAAGGCTGAATAAACACTCAATGCAGAAACCAGGTTTTGGGGTTTTGCTGAGTGGCTTTGGAACAATGTTTGGATGATGAAAATGATTCATCACACTGGTGCAATAACATATCCTTGTTTTATACAGTTTTATACTTCACTTCCCAGAAAGGTTGCAACTCCTTTACAAACTGTAACAGATAGGATCTGCTTTTTGGCATTCCCAGGGATTAGAACATCATTCTACAGATAGATCAAGGGTAAAAAAACCTATTCATAGGAGGAAGTCTCTCATTCTAGTAGGAATGGATAAGGGGACTTAATTACTGCAAGTTTTTCATGTTGAAAATGAAGTACCTACAACAAATCAATTAGTGCACAAATAGGGGAGTTAAAAAACAAAACATTTTCATACATTTACAAAATTACACCTTTGACATCATCGTCTACGGTTGGCACTGTATCACAGGCTTTTATAATGTAGCTCTGGTAGTTCGGGTTTAGCTCATTCATAAAGAAGATTCATATTGTTACTCTTATGAACTTTTTCAGTTTATGTGTTTATATCACCGAGGTGTAGCAACACACACCAGCAGCCTCTACTCTTTCTCTTGCCACCTGTACAAGGTCTACACACATTGGGACTAATTTCTGCCACATTACAAATGTTTTCATTAACTGTTAAGTACATTTAAATCTCTGGACATACAGGAATACCCTGACAGAGTGAGATATTGCAACTGTTCAGAAACTCTGTTGTTCAATTTGTCAGTTTACTTTCTAAAATATACAGTATCAGGATGTTTTTGCTCGCTTAAGAAAAAAGTAAACAATTCTGACTAAGGAGAAAAATGTTTTGAAAACATTTAGTCTTTTTGACCCAAAGATTATTAAATGGTATGTCACAGGCTTACAAATTATGAGGTTTCCGCAGGAAAGAACATAGAATGAGCATGAACTTACAGTATGAGCTCTCAAGGCAACTTCTCAAAAGCCATCATCTATTGTTAATGTATCTCTTGTTTATTAGTCACTTAGCTAGTGTAATATTAGGTTAAATTATCAGTTTCCTATTTCGGAGAGCATCCTGTGAAGAAGAAACGAAAGCTTTTAATAAATAAGCAAAGATAGGGACTTGCTCTGTCAGTCTTAAAACAAATCACCAACCGATGCTATCATCTCAGTATCACCAAAACCCATGAAAATCCCCTTCAAGTTTCATCAGCAATACAGTAATATCCCAGTACCACCCCACCCACTCGGTCCCTCCCTATTTTTGTTCACCTGCAATGACAAGGCCATGAACAAACAGGGCTTTGAGAATCAAGCACAGGGGTGTAGGGGGACCTGGCAACAATCCTATCTGATCCAAAGACTGAAAGTCAAACAGGTGAGTCCACGATAAGGCCGAATAAGGCAGGCTACAGGCAGCACTGGAAAGCATTTGACTCCTAACTCGAGAGAAAATAATTGTGGAGGTTCCAGCATAGCAGGTGCTCCAAAAACGTCATGGCAGTGACTTTGTGCCAGGTGATGGGCTTAATTCTCGGAATTTTGGGGATTGGGGGTGTCATTGCCGCCACTGGAATGGACCAGTGGAGCACCCAGGACCTCTACGACAACCCTGTAACAGCTGTCTTCAACTACCGGGGCCTCTGGAGAACCTGTGTCACTCAGAGCTCTGGATTCACAGAATGCCGACCTTACTTTACCATCCTCGGGCTGCCAGGTAGGACATTACCGTGGAAGGGGGCACTTCTGGGCATCTGGCTGCAGTTGGCCTATATTGCTGAGTTAAGGGAATGATAACTGTGCCTAGAATGTGGAATAATCAGAGACAACTGTCAGGATCATAATTTAACAGAGTGAAATCCTTAAGGGGCCAGTTTACTGTACACGTCTTCGTCTTAACATCACACAATAACAGCTCTGTGTCTAAGAAAAAAATAAAACCAGGTTCTCTAAAACTAATTGATTCTTAAAATATCCAATCTTATATTTAATCAATTACTCCCCAATCTGACACACACTTTTTATTGAGATTCATTAATAAAAGAAAGATCATTTTAACTAATCTTTACAGTTCAGCTCTAAGCAATGTTTAAGAATTCTGAATGTTAATGATTATGTTGTTTATGTATTTTTTATTCTTCTGAAGAAAGGTTTATGTAGGTGTATACCAAACCAGAATTGTAAGTGCATCATATTTAATTTTAAAAAGTTATTATAGATTAGGATTTTGCGAGTTCCTGATCTGTAACGTGCTTTCTTTAAATGTGCTTACCAAAGGAAGTGTCTGCAAAAATGTTTTTTAAATTACTGAAATACAATCATGAGGAAACATTTTGGTATGCAGAATAACATACAGTAATGGACTATCAACAATACAAATAACGACTACACACATCAGGAAAAGCAGATTAAAAGTGGTGGAAAGGAAAATATTATTTGTTCTCTCAAAAAAACAATTATTTTTTAAATTTTTAAATGTTTACTTTTTAAAATTATAATGAAAATATATGTTTTGTACAGTACATCCAATTACTGACAAATTTGACCAATATTTTATAAAGGAATAAAGAATCATATTTTTAAATGTTTACATAAAGAACATGAATAGTGTGATATTCATATTTTTAAAATTTCCCCCTTACTCATTACATAAACCTCCTTCTTTCACAGAAAGACAAAATTCAATAATTTTATAGCAGTGAAGATGACATTAGTTTCTGATTTTACAGTAGACAAAACACAGCACTAGTATTATATATAACATATCAGTTATCGAAGAGTTTTTTTTTCCATTCTGAACCCGCTTAAAAAATAGATTGCGGAATCAACCGTTACGCTATGTAGCCACACCTTGCTGAAGGTCATGGGTTTCTATTGATCTCAGATACAGAATTCAGGTAGAAGTTATTCAGCAAAAGCCAAAAACATAGGCAAACTATTTGATCTATAGTACAGCCTACTTTTGTGAAATGTCCATTTTTTAAAATAAAAAATGGCCAAAATTGTCTAAACTAAGTAAGCAAATAGTGAAACTGGGTCTTCCGTCGCCCATCCCATATCGGCAAAATAAGGAAACTATTTTCGAAAGCTACCTTCGCCATACTCGAAACTCATGAGGCAACATTAAAATTCCGAGCAAACACTAGATAAGCTTCAGTCGTTTTGTGTGCACTGATAAGCAATCAAAGCTAGGCTTTCATTTTGCGAACAAACGGACGGCATAGTGGAGCTTGTAAACAGCGAACACTTTGCAGGAAAGAAAATGGCCTCCACGATGTTCCAAGTGGTGGGACTTATGCTGTCGATGCTAGGGCTGTTAGCGGTTGCTGCTGCCACAGGCATGAACCAGTGGAAAATACAAGATCGCTATTTGACTTTGGTGACCAGTGTATATGTATATTCTGGACTCTGGTACTCCTGCGTTGGTGAATCGTATGGCACTTCAGAATGCCGGCCTTTCTACACTGTCCTTGGATTGCCAAGTAAGTGGACAGCTTGTTCCTAGATGAGATTTGCACGGGGGCATCCAAATCAAAGGTTGCAGAATTAAGGAGTCTGGTTAGTTGAAAGAAACAGGAAAACCAGACGCAGATAAAATGATAAAATGGTAAAATGAGTCAATTTCCAACCTGACATGTAGTGTTATAGACATATACAGACAAGTTAATTTATCACAAAAACTTGCTTTACTGGACAAAAGCTTTATTCTTTTTGAAATACACAATATATCACCATAACAGTCAGAATACCTAAGATTATATAGATTTTCAGTGTATATACAGTGCCAGTGTATATTCACACAATTCTACTTCTGCCATTGTACTTGTAAACTTTAAATTTAATTTTGGAAGCGAATAAATACAATGACCAAAACAAACATTTTCATCACCTGGAGACTTGATGGAATCATATCATTTGTGTATTGAGAGTATGTCTTTCTTTTGTGACACAAGACAAAAATATGGATGGAAATATTGTTATCATCATTCAGCAAAGACATCAGCCTGATATACTGTAGATTATCTAGTAAATAAAATACCTTGAAATGATTATGTTTTTCTTAGTTTCATTAATTGAAATCAAATAGTATTTAGTACAGTTGCAAAGTAGAAAACTGAAATTATGTTTGGTATGTTAGTAGTAAATAATATGAGACCAACTCAAAACGAGTTGAAAGAATCATAAATTAATTATTTCAACCCATCAAAACATACTCTAGGTGGATTATGAAGTATTCTGTTTTAGAGGATTAATTTTCCTAATTATGTGAAATACTTTCACCATGTGGAGGTCAATCATGCTCAGTACATTAAGTCTAATTTACTAATGGTGCTAATTTGAACATGGTGGTAATTAGTAAATAACAGTCTTTTTGCGTGGCTATAGCAATTTACTAAATGCACTTAATTTCTCCTACTCTGGTCCTACTCTACTCTGGTCTCTGTTCTACTCTACTTCCACTCTGGTCCTGCAGAGACCCAATCCAGTTTGTCTTGTATGTCATGCAAAATCACATTTTGGGAAATTTTGTGGTGACACAGTAGGGCAGTCTTTAGCATTGTTTCCTCACAGTGCTGCTACCCTAAGTTTAACTATGGAAATTACCCCTCTATTAAAACTAACTCATCATTAAGTAAATGTTAATATGCTGCAGTTGATTTTACACATCTCTTGATTTGCATTCCATATATTCATTTTCTCACCGCTTCTTCCAATTTAGGGTCAAGAGGGAGTGAGTGCCCATCCCAGCAGGCTACACTCTGGAATGAAATGTCCATCTCAGACACACAGACCCAAACATAGACACATACACACACTCACACCTAGGGCCAATGTTCCCAGAAGTCACTTAACCTACAGTATCAGTATGTTTTGGGGCTGTGGGATTAAACCAGTGAATCCCAGGGGAAACCCACATGAACATGGGGAAAACAGACTGACCTCATGCAGTCTCTTGATTTCCCCCTTGGTGAAATATCATTTTCAGCAGGATAACGTAAATCGTAAATACGATGATACAGAGCAATAAACAACACATGTCGTTTCGAGTGAAAATCCACGGCCACAGTTTATTAAAATTTTAAAGTAGAATAATGAGCTTCCTATTACAAGCAGTAGAGCCAGCAGTACTCTAGGTAGAAATTGCTAGTTTTTGGACATGAATCCTTACTGTGATTTTTGTCTACCTACAGGTAGTTTCCAAGCCGTGAGAGCCCTGATGATCGTGGGAATCGTCTTGGGTGCAATTGGAATCCTCATTGCCATTTTTGCTCTCAAGTGCATTAAGATGGGGAGCATGGAAGACACAGCCAAGGCAAATATGACCCTGACATCTGGGATCATGTTCATCCTTGGAGGTATGCTAAAGCTTTCTTTTCTGACACTGCTACTCGGGGGTACTTAACAGGCAGCTCAATTCTACTGTTGGCTTGGTTCACACAATGCAGGTACTGACTTGAGGGCCATCTGCACAAGTTGGCATTTGAAAAAAGTAACATACTCTTGTATAATGCCTTCATTACATATAATTAGCTTGGTGCAACTGTTTGCAGAACAGTACAGACGTCAATGTTATTTGATGTTAGAATAAGAAGAATACTATGAAGTTCTTGTCATTTTCAAGAAGGAACAGTAAGAAGTGTTGACAAAGAGGAGTATTGTGCCTTTTGGAATGTTCAGGTTCATTCATTATGATCTGACAACCTTACAGTATGCCTCCCTTTTGACTGTGGATATGTTGCTCACAGGGATCTGTGCCATTGCTGGAGTCTCTGTCTTCGCCAATCTGATTGTGACCAACTTTGCAATAGTCTCTACTGAGGTTGCCTATGGATCATCTCTGCAGCCGAGGTGAGTGCAATCCAGAGACACCTTTCATGATCATTTTTTTCCACTAGACACAGGAAGAGTGTCCTGTCACGTTTGAGCTTTCATGATGGTAAAATTCAAATTTCCTGACGCATCTTACTGTGGTTATTCTAACTTTCAGATACACATTCGGGCCCGCCCTCTTCGTGGGCTGGGTGGGAGGAGCTTTGCTGACGGTGGGAGGGATCATGATGTGCCTGGCCTGCAAAGGAATGGTGCCTGAAAAATCTCGGTAAATTTCCTTCTGTACTCTTCATGTGTAACTGGTCACTTTTCTGAGACATACTAGCTTTGTGTTTGAGAAATCATCAAGCTTTCCTTTTTTGTTGCTTATTCTTATAGAAATGTCATTGATCTTTTTACAGGAGAATTTAAAGGCAGGTATCTGGTGAAAAACAAGTTACAGTACAGTTCATATGCTGATCTGCAACAGAAATATTTGCCATTTAGATTATCATGGGTTGCAGAACTATTATCAAGCAATGAATTAGGCTTTAAATATGACTTGATCATTTCAAACAAGGGGAAATAAAAAAGACCAAATCATATAGGTACATTATAAATATAAAAGTTATTTTTATTTGTCCTCTTCTGTACTCAATAAAACAAACAAGATAATAAAGAGGACATTGTCCTTATCGTAAAAACTAGAGGAAAGTTAACATGTAAAGCTATAAGATAATTTTCATTACTGTTTCCTTTGTATTTCAGCTACAATGCGGTTTCTTACAAAGCTCCCTCTCACAACACTATCTACAAGTCTGGTCCAGGATATGATGACAAATCCAGGCAAGGTTATGAGGATGGATACAGGGCACGCAGTGAAGACGGCAGGAGATCCAATCCTACTAAGTTTGATTATGTGTAAAAACTACGGAATTTCCAGCCTCTAATATCAGACAGGGTAGCTGGTGGAGATTGTGGGACTTCAGACAGAGGTGGATTAGTTTCTAAAAACTGCTGCCAGGACCCATGGTCACTTGATTAATTACTTGATTAATTGCTGTCTTGAATTTTCAATTTTACATGAACAGAACATCTCAGCAGACCGACCTTCACTTTGCAAAACACACTGTGTGTGTCGTTTTACACTTTTCATAACCAGAGCTATGTGTTGTGACCCCATTGATAAAACAAATTTAGCTAAATTAGCTCATCGTTGACAAAGAGCATGCAAGCTTTTGTATTTACCCTAACACATTTTATTCACATTTGCACATGTTCCATCATTGTGTTAAGTGTTTACAGGTTATTATGCTCTAATACTGTGTAATACTGTGCAAACCCAACAGGCAAATACTGCTGTTTTATTGAACTAATTATTTAATATTATCACCGAAAAAATAGTTATTTTTCAGTATGAGTTAAACAAACTTTCATGTTGTGGAATAGTCATCCACAGCAATACCCTATGAGCTTTAATTTAGATTTCATAAATTGCCCGAAAAGCACAAACAATTCAGGCCAGGGTGATTCAGGATAAATTCAGAACAGAACATCATTACTGGCTTGAATAATTGACAATGGGACAACTGACCTGTAATATTAAAGGAACTGGCAGATGTTTTGGTTATTTTAGTTATTCTACAATAATTCTGTTCTATATTTTTTAATTGTGTTTTACTAATTGTCATTTGTGTATTTTTTTTATAAAATATCAACTCATAGCAAAAGCACAGCAGTCTTCTGTGTTGAGTCACTACATTTATTTCTTGAATTATGTTAAAGCTTTATTGTGTTGGATTAGCTATTAGATTTGATTTTGTGTTGTACCATGCATGAATTAAAATCATTATATGTTTTAATGTAGAATGTTAGGTTGCTTAATTTGTCATTTGCAAAATTAATTTGGTCATTTATTGCCCTACCAATTAAGACTATACTACAGACTATTATTCTTGGAACCAGGTTTTGCCTAGAAAATTGGACATTGTGACTTAGAACACAGAAATGTCTTACATGTTAGAAAAGACACTGAACTGTATTGCTTTCAATAGTCTCAAAACTGCAATTATTTTTTGCCACAAAGAAAGTTAACCTTTGACATCAGTGCTCTAAGTTATAAATCATCTAGAAATATACAGTACCTATGATATGAAGGACTGAGACTCACTTTGTTAATAAGTGGAAATGGATAAACATTTTTCTGGTTTTTGTGTATTTTTTATTTTGCTGTTGTTCATTAAAATTTTCAAATAACTTGAGAGTGATTTTTTTTCTTAAGGCCGAGAAGGAAACCTGAAGACTGACAAACTTTACATATTAGAAATAAAAACATTTACTGTAATTAACACCCAACTAATGCAGATAATGAAGGTTAGATTTGACATCAAACCCATCAAATTACTACTTAAGAGTAAATTGATCATTAAAAAATCCTGATGTTCTTAGAGAAGTGGACAGACATCATGACACACTCTCCAAAACAGCTAGGAAACTAAAATTTTAAAAATCATAACCCTAGTTAATTAAATATGTATAAAAACATAATCATCTTCTATGGAAAATCAAATATCTGACATGTCTTTGGTGGTTTGAGAGGCTCTGGAATAAATTCTTCAGAATCAATAAGGTGTATTTTTTCCTTTTGTCCAGCCATGGTCTACTCCTGTTAGAGGACAAGCTCTTCTGTTTTTCACACGTTTACTGCTCAGCACCTGCTGCACTATGTAAAGGGCACAATATTATGTAGCGCTTTTAGAGATAAGAGCAGCTACTTAAAAGCTTTTGTAATAACACCTGCACAAGCTTTAGGTAGGTGTGACAGGGATTTCAATGGCCTGGCAACTGCTGATTCTTTATTGGAAAACTAAACATCATGCTGCATTTCAAATGAAGATTCTTATTGTGCTTTAATTGGAAAGGGTCTGCAATTCATTAAGCCAAGGTTTTGTTGTTAAGTATGTTTTTGCTTTGAAATATGGAACTCAGTCACTGGATACATCTTAAAAATGGGTATTAAGAAATAACTTTTATTTTCAAATACCCAATCCTTGGATTTAACTATACAAACCTGGTAACTCCCTCCAAAAAAAAAACCCTTAAAAATAAATACATATATTTCAATTATACAGAGGAATATGAGAAATTCATCAAAGTATCCACAGTGATTAATTTTGCACAAAAATGAATTAACACACACAGAATATTGCTTTTTGTCTCTAGAGGTAGAAATCAGTCAAACTTTTTAACCTGCATAATTTGAATGAAGGTAATCATTGTAGCCATGATTTTAAAAAACCCATAAGTAATTCATGTCTTCCACTAAAAGAAAAAAAACATTTTATCAGAATTTGCTTTTGAACACTATGGTAGAGGCACAACAAGATCTTAATACAGTAGTAAATAGGCTGCAAGTGAAGAAACCTGAATATCTTTTCCAGCCAGGTAATGGTTAAGCCTAATTATGAGAACAAAATTCTTTGGTAATATGACCAATATTTATAAAACATCTCAGATGTTAAAAAGGTTATCAAAAAATGAGCAACATAAGAATTCAATATTTAAAATAACAAAAACAATCTGTTTCATGGCAATCGGTCAGACAGATTTTGATAATGTTGGACATAATATAATGTGAAACAAACTGGAGAGCTGTACAATGAATTAGTAGGAAAACAGTTTCAGGCATGGTATTCGTTGTGCTAAATTACATTTAATGTCACCACTGATAATCTTAAAACCTCCCCTTCGTTATAAAAACCTCTGCTCTGAACATACGCCTCTTGAACTACGGCCTGTGCGGACTCCTGCGAGTGAATTTCCCATGTGTGTGTTGGAGAAGAATTCCGCTGTGTGTGCGTGCCAGGTTGGAGGTCGCGCTTGCTCCACTTGGCACTGCGGTTCCCAGGACTCACCACACTGCCCCCCGACTTGCTGAGGAACTCCAGACACTGGTTCCGGGAGAGCCGACAGAGTCGGCGCTTCCCCGCACCCCTGCCACCCTGGGCGCAGAAGACTGCGGGGTGATCTCTTCAACGGAGGACAGTTCGAGGTCACTCTCCTCGTCGGACAGCTAGGAAAAGATGAAGAGAGACTGACAGAGTGACTGAAATGCGGGAATGAAAGAGAGGTAGGGAGTGTGCATGGCTTTCCAAAATGATGCAAAGTATATTAAAGACTTTTGGGAGCAAAGCATCTTGTACGAGTTCTTCGAGCAATCCGTTTTCATGCTCATATCCCATAAGGCTGTTCTCAATTAAGAAAACTCTCATTATGACAAAAAAGGAAGAAAACAAAGGAAACATTGGTGAAAATCCCTTGGCAAAGAAGTGAAACTCATTTCTACTGAACTTTGAGTTCAGTTCTGACAAACACACATAAAATGTATTATAATTAGAAAAGGTGCACCATGTTACAGTACTGTATGTTCCTGTGATTTATGAACTCTCAGTAAACCTTTACCATCAACAGACACAGTCACCTCTTCCTGCTCATATGATATCAGACATCTTAAAACTCTGCTAGTTTACTGTCAGCTTTATGTGATACAGACTTGTTCCTCTGTCCAAGACCTTAACATGGAGACCAGTACAGGTTTTGAGCTGTCTTCAAAACAAAACTCCAGCAATGGGGATATAATGTAGTGATTTTGGGGAGAATAGGTATACCGTTGGTAAATTTGTTCCATTCAAGTATATCCCACACAAAGGATAAATTCTTAGAATTCAGAAGAAACACTTATTTGTTATAAAAAATAAGGAACCGTGTTTTCTTGAGGTTTCCTTGAGTGTGAGCAGTTTCCTGAAGTGAGTCATAGGGGGACAGGAAAGATGATATCTTCCTATTAATCAGATCAATCGTGCCTAGTTTTCTTTAAGTAATCCAGATCTCAGTTCTCTTACCTGAAGGTTCTTCATAACTGTGCTTGATTTTGGGGAGGCACTGGCTGATGGTGGTAGCACTTTAATCCCACCCACAGGCCTCCTTGCTGGAGAACTTAGCTGTTTTTCCAGGCTCTTGGTGAGTGATTGGACCACAGACCCTACAAACCCAAATGTAGAGCATACAGACTGAGATACAGTCAGAGTGACAGCGGCAAATTAATTTCTAATGCATTTCTTCAGTAAATTTGAATCTTTTAGGACAAATAATAGATTTTTTCCAAGGAAATGAAGAACATACAGGGACATAAAAGGAAATTAATCAACACAATGATAGTAGATTGCCTATAGATCTAAAGGTCAGCAGGAAGCACCCCAAAGTCTGGTATTAATGAGATCTTAATTCCATTTTATTACACACTGTAAACTCCTGACCAGCCTTCTACAATGTCCTGGAAGATACCAGTTTGCCTCACTAAGACCAGTGACAACATAACTGGGCACTGAAATAGGAGACAATAAATGCAGAAAATAAAAAAATTAAAAAACAAATGCAATATATGTGGTTTTTAACCTTTACAGCCGCCTGCACACTCTTGGTTCTTGGTTCTGCACTCAAAAATCGTTGAAGTAGGTCAGTTCTTTATATCTAAGATGTATCTTTATATATCTCCAATAAATATCATAACTACAGAATGAAAGAGAAAGAATTATATATTTACTTTAATTTTGCAGTAAAATTAAGAATATATTTAAAAAATTACACACTTTGTAAAGGTTTACTTTAAAATACCAAGGTTTCATGGAACAAAGCAGTTGTACTTATATATTTACTTATACATACATATACATATACATAAATAAGTTGTACTTATATATATACAAGCAGTGCCTGTGCTTTATGTTTTCGATGATTTGCCTCCTAAACAAATCTGGAATGTCCCACACCCGCAGGGGAAGAATAAGAACATATGCATTAGTCCCACCTTGTGACGCAGGAAGCCTGGTGCTGCCAGGACTGACTGGGCCCTCTGACAGTTCTGTGTCAGACCAGTCCTCCTCAGTGGCCACTGTCTGGTTCTGCCTGGGGCCTGCCTGGACAACTCTGACTGCAGGAAGGGCTTTGCTCCCTGGGCTGGTGATGTAGGCACTGTCACCGCCCGACTCCTCCTCAGAGCTGAAAGGGGGTGTGCTGGGAAGGCAAAGACACGCTCACTAAGAATAAACCTTAAAATTAAATAAGGAAATATCTTTTTGACCTAAAAAAATCAAAACCCCCTTCTGTTGAGAAGGTGCAATTAGTGGCCTCCCGCTGTCCTGTAGCAAGTCTGCACATACCTGGTCCTCTGAGCACGGGTTCGAGGGGTCCTGGGTGTAACAATGGTCCGCGGGGCTGGCTGAGGAGCTAGTGGTTGAACTGGACGAGGTGGGTTCCTGGCCTTTGACCTCTTCTGTTGGGTAGGGCTTCCCTGAACCTTCCCTTCACACACCAGAGGATAACAAGGCAACTTGTTATAACTTGTTATAACTGGCTTTTACACTCTGACCTTATTGTTCACACACACAAATACTGTGCACCTATACCTATACAAATATATCTCTGCACTATTCAAAACTGAATTCTCTGTACCATTCTAGTTCTTGTTTCTGGTTTAAGTTAATTTAAAATAAGGAATACTATAATTATCCAATCATCCAGGTGGGGCTGCACATTGGTGGTGGTGGAGGGGAGTCCCCATTACCTGTAAAGCGCTTTGAGTGGAGTGTAGGACCAGTAAGGGGCACTCACCCTGCAGTTTGTGTGAGTCCTAATGCCCCAGTATAGTAATGGGGACACTTAACTGTACAAACGCACTGTCCTTCAGACAATGAGACGTAAAAGTGAGGTCCTGAGTCTTTGTGGTCATTATAAATCCCAAGGTGCTTCTTGAAAAGAGTGGGGGCGTTACCCCAGTGTGCTGGCCAAATTTCCCTCTGGCCTTTATGGCCTCCCAATAACCCATTATGAATTGGCTTTATCACTGTTCTCCCCACTGATAGCTGGTGTGTGGTGAGCAAACTGGCGCACTATGGCTGTCATTGCATCATCCAGGTGGGGCTGCAAATTTGGCGGAGGTGCAGGTGGAGGTTCAGGGGAGTACTCATTATCTGTAAAGTGCTTTGAGTGGAGTGCCCAGATATGAGTGTAAGGAATTATTATTATTAAAACCTTGACACAAGAATGTTTGCTCTAAAGTCATCAGGCACTTAAGCTGGAAACCTCTGCTCTATGGGTTTGAGAAGCAAGGTGAATCCTTACAGGAGGCA